TAAGAGTGAGGAAGGGCCTCTCCTGAGGATTGTGAGTTCCTGCATGGCAGCGGGTTGGACTGGATGACCCTTGTGGTGTCTTCCATCTCTATGATTCTATGATTTTAGAGCCCAAGCAGGCTCATAGGGAGAAATAGCCTGGAGACTCGTGTTTGAATCCTGGCTCGGTCACGAAAACCCACTGGCTTACCTTGGGCAAGTCATGCCCTCTCAGCCTCAGGGGATGGCAATGGCAATGAACAAATCTTGCCAAGAAAAGCCCATGAGAGGTTCACCTTAGGGTTGCCATAAGCTGGAAAACTACTTGAGGGCACACAACACACAACAAGCAAATCATTGGTTATAGGTCTCCTCAAGTGCATAAAGTCTGACATGAAAAACATCTTTCCTTTTGCCTTAATATAGCTGCAGACAAACACACTTGGGGCAGCATGGAGCACCAACCTCAACTCAAGCCCACAGATTTCTGCATTCTCATTTGATTTCGCCCACATTTTCCCCCCTTCCTTAAAGAAAAGAAATGAAAAGAAAAGAAAATGTTATTCTGTCCTCCGCCTGTTGGTCCTGAACGGATATTCCTTCTTTGCTCCCTCTTTCTCTCTTTCTCTTGTGGTCCTATTTTAAAAGCTGTAAAACTTTAATACAAAGGAAATTAAAAAAGCCCAAGGAGCTATTTTGAAAATAATTTCCCAATCAAAACATATTCCTTCAGTAAATCTAATTTGTAGGAAATAACGATCAAAGCATGACAATAAAGGGCTTTTCAACAGATCTTAATAACATACATGTGGGTATGGCTTGGCTGCGTTGTAGCCGCCCCATTTAAATAAGCAACCTACTTGCAGAGGCAGGCTTGGCTTCTCTTTCCCCCAAACTAGTTATTTGCCTTCATCTTGGTTAGAGAGGGAGGCCCCAATCCATCAATCAGGAACATGGCAGGAGATTGCATGAGTACAATCCTCACACACACAGCATGGTTGTGTGCTTGCATTGCACTGGAATACGCACACATGCACACTCATGGAGGAAGGGGTGTGTGAAATAAACCATCCAGCGATAGCATCTTATACTCTTGGCCTCTTTCTCCCTACTGGTCACCAGATATGCATCTCAGGTTATTGTTGTTGTTGTGATGCTCTTTAAATTATTAAGATTTTCCTTTTGTATCAGACTGAGGCCAAGAGGAGATGGAGTGTAGCATTATATGCACTGAGCTCAATCCAATATCTCCTTCTTGTTGTTGTTGTATGCCTTCAAGCTGTTTCTGACTTATGGCAACCGTAAGGTGAATATATCATGGGTTTTTCTTGGCAATATTTGTTCAGAAGAGGTCTGCCATTGCCTCCCCCTGAGGCTGAGATTGCTGTTGTTGTTGTGCGCCTTCAAGTCATTTCCAACTTATGGTGACCCTAAGGCGAACCTATCCTGGGGTTTTCTTGGAAAGATTTGTTCAGAGGTTTGCCATTGCCTTCCCCTGAGGCTGAGAGAATGTGCCTTTCCCAAGGT